AGCCCGGCCCGTTAAGCCCGGGACCATGTGGGCTTAGGCCCGTCACGGGCCGGTTCCACCCGTGAGCCCACGAAGCCCGGGACCACCAGAGCCCAGACCCACGAAGCCCAGGCCCACGAGCCCGACCCGTTTGGCCCACGAAGGCCCGGGCCCGGCCCAGAATACAGCACTATCACTTAGTTGACACTCTTCACAAAAATAGCAAGTGGCCAATTATTGTCAAGTGGATAACTCGCTGCTGTCCGCGACATCTTTTTCTATTATTTAAAAAAAATAAATTAGATTAAGTAAATAGAAAGTTTATGGTCACTATTTCAATCCCAAGAACTCTATTCCAAGCTAAGTTGCGCGGACTCTTTGTTTTTGGTGCCGCACCAATCTCGACAGGGGACGAGTGTGGGTGCGGGATATGTCCCAGATTCGGTCAACTAATTAACTTAAAGATACTTTGAACTGAGTTTATCGACAAATTTGGGGGGAAAATTGAGATTTTGATTTCTCAAAATCAAATAAAAAAAACAAATCTAAAACATGGGAAATGACATACCTTCAATATTGTAGTGCATTTGTCTCATATTTGTTGCTTTGTGTTTCAGAAAAGACTAAGAATTCAAGGGGTTGTGCTCTAAGTTCGGACTCTTGGTAGACAGTAGCAGCGATATAGATAGAGAGTCAATGGAAGTCCTTGAATGACTTTCTTTTTCTCTTTATAGCTCTATTTTTTACAAATTTTTAATTTTCTTAGCCGGATCCCCGCACCCGTATCTATGTCTGGATCTGCACCCTCGAATCTTAAAATTTTGATTTTGCCGAATCCGATACTCGGATCCGTGCCCCTACCAGATACCAGTACCCGAGTCCGAGCAACTTAGATTCCCAGCATAAGTTCCAAAGCTTAACTCCAGCCATTGCTGCTGCTATTGTGCTGGAATCATCCTAGTGACAAAATATTAGACGGTATCTACAGACAACATATTTTTCTTTACATCATTTTTTATATTAAAAATGACAATTCCAACTAAGCATAACTATCAAAGAGCTTTATATTGATTCGTTTGGTTAAGAATAATCAAAGAGGTGATTAAATTTTTCATTTTGTTAACATGTTGCTTCATGGTAATGCAAATTAGAGAAACTGATGAATTGTTACCTTTCTAACAGTAATTGAATTCAGTGAGAGGCTGAGTTACTTTGGATTAGCAACAAGTTTGATTATATACCTAACAAAAGCCATACATCAAGACCTCAAAACAGCAGCAAAAAGTGTGAATTACTGGTCAGGAGTCACCACTTTAATGCCATTGCTTGGAGGTTTTCTAGCTGATGCATACTTGGGAAGATTCTCCACAGTTCTTGTCTCTACCACTGTCTACCTCCTGGTAACCACAGTTTTCCTTCTTGAAGTGTGTCATCCAAATTGAAACGGATGGAGTAATTTTAATAAATAACTTTTTCCCTGGTTTTGTTAATGCAGGGCTTGCTTCTCTTGACAATGTCAAGAGTGGTTCCTAGTCTGAAACCTTGTGACAGTGACCTCTGTCATGAACCTAGAAAAGCTCACGAGGCGATTTTCTTCCTCGCGATTTACTTAATCTCAGTTGGGACAGGAGGGCACAAGCCTTCTCTAGAGAGCTTTGGAGCTGATCAGTTTGATGATGATCATCCTGCGGAGAAAAAAAAGAAAATGTCCTTTTTCAACTGGTGGAATTTTGGGCTATGCTGCGGACTATTACTTGGTGTTACTCTTATTGTTTATGTTCAAGATCGCGTTAGCTGGGCGATGGCAGATTTGATCCTCACACTAGTTATGGCTTCTAGTTTAGTCATCTTTATTGCAGGGAGACCGTTTTATCGTTATAGAAAAGCAACTGGAAGTCCATTAACACCAATGTTACAGGTGCTTGTAGCTGCAATAAGAAAAAGAAATCTTCATCTTCCTTCAAATCCTTCTCATTTACATGAAATTCCCAAATCAGAAACTAGCCGGAGGAGACTTTTATGTCACACCAAGAAGCTCAAGTAAGATTCAACTTAGTCATGATTATTGTTATGAATATACTCTTTGCAATATTGAAACAAATTTGTGACTCTACTTTATAGGTTCCTTGATAAAGCTGCGATTCTTGACGACAAACAAGATTCAATAGAACAGCTGCAGAATCCATGGAAACTTGCAACTGTGACTAAGGTGGAAGAATTGAAGCTAGTTATCAACACTACTCCCATTTGGCTAACCACTATACCATTTGGTATATGTATAGCACAAGCTGCAACATTTTTCATCAAACAAGGCGTGACACTGAACCGAAAGATTGTTCACAATTTTGAGATTCCCCCTGCCTCAATTTTTGCCTTAGCAGCTGTTGGCATGATAATATCTGTCACTATGTATGAGAAAATTCTCGTACCTGTCCTAAGACGGGCAACAGGAAACGAAAGAGGCATTAGTATTCTCCAAAGGATCGGTATTGGAATGATCTTCTCTGTTTCTACTATGATCGTTGCAGCTCTAGTCGAAAGAAAAAGATTGAATATTGTTCATGAAAATCCACTCGAGGGTTCAGCTTCAATGAGTGTATTCTGGTTAGCCCCACAATTCCTTATAATCGGAATAGGAGATGGATTTACCTTAGTGGGATTACAAGAATACTTCTATGATCAAGTACCTGATTCTATGAGAAGTTTAGGCATTGCACTTTACCTTAGTGTGATTGGTGCTGCAAATTTTATTAGCAGCCTCTTGATAACTATTGTGGATCATATCACAGAAAAGAGTGGCAAGAGTTGGTTTGGGAAGGATTTAAATAGTAGTCGGCTCGACTATTTTTACTGGTTGTTGGCTACCATTACAGCAGTAAATTTGTGTGTCTATGTTTTTGTTGCTAGGAATTATTCCTACAAGAAGAATGTTCACGGTAGGACAACTATAGCTGTGGCTGATTGTGATGATCGTGAAGCAGTGGCTTAGTATATAAATATTCCTTTAAATGTTTTACGTAATTTTTTTTACTACGTTTATTGAAATAGTAATATCAGTGTATTCTGACAAGTTTAAAGGAAATAAGAAATCCCTCTTTTTGTGTTGGAAAAATTTGATGATTATGGAGAATAAAAGGTTTAGCTTGAGGCGTGTCAAAGACACTATCCTTAAGGATATTTCGCCCACACCGAAATGAATAATATTAGGCGTATCCACCAGGATTCAACAAGCTCTTCTAGTATAACTAGGAGCAGAAACAACAAAGATTTATGAGAAGAAAACTCAGCACTAAAGGAGAGGGAAGAAAAGTTTTTTAACCTTTTTCATTTTTCTACTCAAAGTAACACATAGGAATATATATATATATATATATATATATATATATATATAATCCAAAGATTTTAACTTCAGATTGTAAGCAACGTTTTAAAAATTATTAAATACCATTCAAAGACTATTGAAATGGCTGTTACAAATTAAAGCCATTAAAGTTAATAAAAAGTTAGTTATAATATTATAATAATGACTATTAATCATGGGTAGTAAATGATAATGAATATGTTATATTTTATTTTTGAGATATAAGAATTATCTTCTAACAATCCCCCACATATCTCAAAAATACTTCTAATAACAAAATAAGAAGTTTCGCTGGCTTTTCAAAATGAGCATAATGCATCGAATCTGGTGTCTCTTGGACTATGAACGAGACCTAGATAAAATAAGATTAAACTTACAGAACAATTGGTGAAGTTTAGAACTTCTATGAACCAATAATTCTTTTGTAAGTTTAGTGTCTTAGCTATCACATTATACTCGCGCACACTTTGTTGTTTATCGCGATTTTGCGCTAATACGCCATGCGCGCGCCTAGTTTTCATGAGTGCTCTAGAAATATTTTTGCCATAAATTTCATAGGAGCGGCCCCACTCCACCCTCATATATGTCCATCCATCAAGTGTGAAAGCCGGTTATTGGACTTCGGAGCATGATGAGTCTCTTTTATAACCTTGTAAGAGTGAATTATACTCATAGGTGAATTAATTGAATATGTTCTCCTAATTGTGGGGGCTACGTACGCACGAGGTGACGAGAGTCCGTGCGTAGCTACTATTATGCTTATGTCTGGGTAGTCTAGGACCCAAAAGAATGCTTACTTGTAATAGGTGCAACCGTATTGATAGTTAAATTGCTTAAATCATATCAAAGTGGTAGATGATTTTCTAAAAGAGTTAAACTTCAGTTTCATGACTTGTAAAAGAGGAAAATTTACACCTCCTTGAATAATTGTCTCCTTGATGAACGTCTTGATTGACTGTTTGAGCATGTGTTCCTATGTGTACCTGCATCACATGTATGATTTGCAAGCAATGTGATTATTTATTTATATTTGACCGCGTCGCATGTATGATTCATGAACAGGGTAATTGCTTATTTATATTTGACCGCGTCACATGTATGATTCACGAGCGGGGTAATAGATGCATCTATGGTTCGCGCCGTTCGACCCTTGGCAGTGCACATTTTACATTTATGTTGGATCGGGTTGTACGACCTCGGCATGATATTCTCATGCTTATATTGCTTGCCTGAGAATTTAAATGTTGATACTTGCCTGTCCTGTCCAAAGATAAAATGATAAAGATAATGAAAAGTAAATCTTTGAAAATCCTTCATTATTTGAGAAGTTGTTTACTTGCTTTCCGGATTTATGAGTTTATAATTGCTTTATAAAATCCATGTTCTCCTCCTATTTTTACAAATATTATTATTGGACCACTAGTAAGTGTCAAACTCGACCTCTCGTCTCTACTTCTTCGAGATTAGATAGGATACTCATTGGGTACACGTTGTTTTCATACTCATACTACACTTGCTATGCATTTTTGTTGCGCAGGCACATGCATCTCTAGTGGCCTAGTGGGCATAGCAGTATGGTTGATATGGAGACTTAGGTGAGCTGTACTTCTCGAGATGACTCGCAGCCAGCAGAGTCTCTTTTAGATTATTGTATTTACTCTCTGTCCAATATTGTATTCCGAACGGTTGTTGTATTACATTATGTCCTAGAAATTGCTCATGCATTTGTGACACCGAGTTCTGAGATGATTATGGGGTATTCTATATTCACTTCTGATTTTTTTTTTATTTTTTTTTTGCAAAGTTTATCTTTTACTAGCCGAATTGAAAGAAAATTTCAGTTTTTAAAACTATTAAGATAAGAATTAAGTTAAGCATTTATGGTTGGCTTGCCTGACAGCGGTGTCCGGCACCATCACGACCCTTAGTGGATTTCAGCTTGTGACAACATGGTATCAGAGCACTAGGTTCCCTTAGGTCTCATGAGTCATGAGCAAGTCTAGTAGAGTCTTGCAGATCGGTAGGAGACGTCTGTACTTATCTTCGAGAGGCTACAGGGATGTTAGGAGCACTTCCCTTCTTGATTCCTCATCGTGCTGGTTGATTCCTTTAAGGCTTATGCCTTTGTTTATTTCCTACTCAATCTTATGCGACGTGAAGCGCTTGCTATATCGATCAAGAATTGAGAAATTGTAATGGTACCATAAATATGGTGTGGGATGTTCCTCCCTGCGTATTTGTTTGGGCTATTGTCGTCGCCTTGCGGAAGGCCGTTCTGTCATTTCTGCTCTGTATCAGTATTATCTAAGGTTTTGAGATTTGACATTAATTGTTATGACGATTCGTGCGTTGCTATCGCACAGTATTTGTGTAATGGTAGGATGTTTGTCTACGCGTTGAAGCAGTGAATGACTTGGAAGGATGTTTACTCAATGCAAGATTCAGAGATTCAAAATTTTATTTTCAGCGGAGGAGAGGCATTCAGGCTATGGATGTTCAAGTTTGGTTTGATGGAGTAATAAGACTTGGTATTTTTGAGCGTGGTAGAATTTTCATCTGTGATGTGGTGCCATTGTCCTTGTTGAATACGTTAAGTTCGCTGGTGTTACGATTTTCTTTAATTCGCCTTTGGGGCAGAGTATCATATGGGTTCTGTGGTAGGATGACTACACTCATTGAGAAAAGTTTAGAGTGATTTGGGATTCATGGTGGACAGTGACCAGGTCTACGATCTTAATTTGAAATATTGGCTAGCATAACGGCGGAAGATTTGATATGACGGAAATGAGCTGTTTGATATGAAGAAGGATACAACATAACTTTGAATTGGAAGATATTGTCGCACATTTAGTTGATGTCCACGAGGAGTGAATGGGCTTGTGCAGCTGGTGAATGAGCATGGGCTCAGAGGGGTTATCTCGTATGAGAAGGTCACCGGTCGCGTGGTTGGCGAAACTCCTGTGAAGGATTTTGCTAGCTATCCGGTAAGAGTTCTAATATGTAAATGTTGCAAGAGATTCAGAGTGTTCATGAAATGCTAGCAGAAGGATTTCGAGGAATATGGCGGTTTAATTGCGGAAGGTCATATCAATAAGAGATAAAGAATCTTGGGTGGGTTTCAGAGTTGTGTAATAGTGGCTTAAAGCTAAGTGGGAGAGTCCCACCGCCTACGGTTGGGTTGCATGGGCGTCTATTTGTGAGATTTCTGGTTATTAGCATATTGATGGGTTATTTCAGCTAAGGGAAAAAAGCATCAGAGGTAATTTGAGCAAAGGAATTATTAAAGGTGTGCTATGATTGGCCTTATTGACTCATGTTCATACTTGGGGAAGGATTCAAGATTTATGCCTTGTATAGATGCGGGTTTCAAGGAAAGTGAATCGGCCGGGTGCTTCGTCGAGAGGATGTTCATGTGCTAGAAGATTCATGGAGTTGATTATATTCGATACCAAGTCAGAGTGGGTGGCTCTCAACAACGGTCTGAGTGGATTCAAAAGTTAAAGTGTGGTGCCTAATGATTTCGAGCCCATAAGTATGGTTAAGAATCAAGCTTTTGCAGCAGATCATGAAAAGAGTCTTGGAATGTTCTATAATATCTTCGGCCTGCAGTGTAACATTTGGGGGAATGAGAGAAAATAACTCCGGATTCATAGAGGGATTGTTAGAATGGATGTGTTACACCCCGCAATATTACGTCAATATTACGTCTTGCAGTATTATATTACGACAATGTTATGCTCTGCAGTAATATATTACAATGATGTTATGTCCAGCAGTATTAAGTTACGACAATGTTCTACCCAGCAGTATTACATTACGGTAGTGTCACACTTCACAGTATTAAGTTACGACGATGTTGCACCCTATAGTATTGTACGTTGGATTTGTTGTAAGGTAATTGACATTAGTCCAAGTAAAAGATTATTTGGAGATTATAAGGATTGTGCTATTTCACAAGTGATAAATAAATTCGTAAAGGTGAAAGGGGAAGCAAGTCAAAGAAATTTAATTTTTCGTCCAAGTTGGCATATTGGGGTAAAATACGACCCGAGCTAAAATACCCGGTATTAATGGGCTAGTGACATGCAAGGTACTACATGCTCATGCTAGAAAAGTGTTTAAGGTATGTGAAAAGTGAGTAATATTTTAAGTAAGTGGGAATAATTCTCAATTTTTTGGGTAATTGGTTAACTACCAGGTAACGAGACATTACCCGGTTAACGAATAAGTGGATAAAAAATTAATTAAATAACACACCCCTACTCCCCACGTGCCAGTATGCCACATCCAAGCATATGTCTTATAGTCATATATGCTTGTAATGTGTAAAGTTAATTTTATGACTCATAAAAATGAGTCACTTTAAAGACTTGTTTTAAAGACTAACGTGTAAAGACTGGAATTTCAAAAGAGTCACTTTGGAATGAGTCACTTTTCTGATTCTTGACAATGAATCAAAGGAATTCTAAATAAAACGTTTTCTTCCAAAACTTGAAAGAATCAAAAACATTTTCCCTTGATTAAAAATCAAACAAACACTTGCATTCCTTGATTTTTAAAACCAAAAACGTGAAAGAGCAGAGCCATTTTTTGTTCAATTTCAAGACTTCATCAATTCAATTCTTAAGCCAACATTTTGTTCAAAATGTTAAAAGCAGATTAATTCATCCAAAATTTCAAGTTTGTCCAAGTGTGAATTTCGTCCATATTTTGCAAAAGCAGGTTCGTTCAAAATAAATCCGGGAACATGT